TGTCCCAGGAATTGCCCCTCCCTAAAGGGAATGTGTCCTTGGCTGCTTCATCCTGCCCTTCCCCCTTTAGCTCACCTGTTTCCCACCTTTTGGCCACCCCATGGAGCATTCCTGGGCCTAGTCACATAAGCAGGAAGGAGAGAGATAAGGGGAAGAGGACAGGAGAACCAAGGAAGCCTAGGACATATAAAAAGTGCAGAACACCTCGTTTCTGGGGATACCAGAACACCAGCCTTGGCCCCCTTCTCCTTCCGGGAGAAGTCTATGTTACCCTGAGAAACTGAGGTGACCCTTTTTCTTGGAAAACCCACAGAGTGTTCATAGGCACATAGCCACCCAGCTGAGTCATTTGTCCATGAATAACAGGAAAGGCCTGGGGAGCCAGATATCCCTGACCCCAGTGCCAGAAGTCCTTGACAAAGCCATGCAAGTTCCTGGAAAGACCAGAGAATGCTTGAAGCCTAAGTTTTGACCTTAATGACCCAAAGCAACAGCCAATCAGTGTGAGACAAAGAAGATATCTGGAATGTAGATGGCCCTTCTAGTAGTTTCCAAGATAGATAACATAATTAGGACACCCTGTAGTTTAGCATATATACTCCTCCTTGAGGCCTAAACCACTCAGTTAAAACTTATCAACTACTTGAACTCACCAATTACACTTACCCGACTTGTTCCTGCCAAAGAATGTGCTAATCAATGTTAAGAGTTATTGTTTGATTTTTCTGTGATATGAAATGAATTGCTGTGTGATGTTGTGATTTATAGAATAACCCCCAAAACCTATAAGATCTCACTGAACTAAGGACCAGGACTCACTCCTCAGGACCACTGCATCAGAAACAGTTTTGAGTCCAGGCTCAAGCTTGCAATAAAGACTTTTGTGTTATTGCACCAGATTTGGCTCCTGGAGGTCTATTAGGGTCCCACGAATCTGGTATAACAACCCCTTTTTAAATAAGCCTGCTTCATATACTTGCCTTGGTGTGCTTTGCTAATATTCAAACTTCAACATGTGGGGAAGCAGGACTCGTCACTGATCACCGGCAGTATCACTATGCTGAAGAGGATGAAAAACTCAAAACTACTTTTTTTTTTTTTTGGTATCAGGGATTGAACTCAGGGGCACTCTACCACTGAGCTCTCCTCCCCCCAGCCCAGTTCTGTATTTTAGAGACAGGGTCTCGTGGAGTTGCTTAGCACCTCGCTCTTGCTGAGGCTGGATTTGAACTCACAGTTCTCCTGTCTCAGCCTCCCCAGCTGCTGGAATTACAGGTATGCACCTCACCCCCCACCCTCTCGAAAGAATATTTTTTCTTTTGTGGTGTTGGGGATTCAATCCAGGGCTTTGTGCATGGAAGACAAGCACACTACAAATTGAGCTATACAACCAGCCCCTAAAAATACATTTTTTTAGTATACTTTTTCTCCTTTGAGTAGTTACAAAGAATGCTGTTTCTACTAATTTTTTCTTTTTTCTTTTTCTTTTTCTTTTTTGTTTTGTTTTGTTTTTGTGGTGCTATGGATTAAACTCTGGGCATTGTGTATGCAGGGCAAGCACTCTATCAAATAAGCTATATCCCAGCCCTCTGCTACATATTTTGACTAATACAAGATGATATAAAATAGTTGCTCACAAAAGCCTTAAAGGAAAATTGAATATGGAATTCTCTATCTAGATGACTTTGAAGGATCTGATTTTTATTTAATTGATTTAAAAATTATATTGCCTGTCCTATATAATAGATACTAATCTGAGTCATCTAACAAATGTTACTATTATATGGTGAGATGCTGGTAGTTCATAGCACCCAGCTTTAAATGATCACCTAGAGTTACCTGGAACAAAGTGTGTATTGAAGGTAAGACGCAGACATATTGAATGAGTCTTGTGATAGAAAATTATGGGAGGAAACAAAAGGGCTATAAGGTTTATGGGCTGCCCTAGATGCTTCTAATTGTGCTGGAGAAAAGCTCATGTTAAAAATTCTCAGTTTAATGAGTGATCAGACAAGCAGGAGCTTTCACTGTCTACTACAAAATAATCGCTCACTTCCCAAGGCCAAAAATCAAATAGAGTCAGATCCTGCAGGTTACTGAATTTAAAAGAAGGTTGAACTCTCAGCCTTTTCAATTATCTTGTTTTAAAGAGCAGCACAATAATTGGGTAAGAACTGGACCCTGAGACTCCGTTGCCAACCAAAATGCTCCTATATTCATCTGGGAAAGGAATCCTGCCTTCCCAGTTTGTAATAACTTCATCTCCTGTGAGTTCTGGTGAAGGAAGACATCAATTTCCCTCATGCTTCTCTTATCCCTCATCTGTCCAGGATAACTAGGTCCTCTGTGTCCCAGAGGCCAATTAGAAAGTAAAACAATGGAGGAGA